ATCCATAAGAACCCCAATACGTGCTCGTGTCTTATTTGTACCAGTTCCTAGTGTTATGGAGATGTTACATGTTCAGTTTCATGATAATGTAGACAACGGTTGTGATCCTTTTGACACTTTCAATTCCTTCATGTCTGCTTATTATTTTGTGTAATAAATGTTCTAACCTATCAAGGTTTGTCGTTATAACAGGTAAGAGTGGATAAGGTCATTATTAGCTTTGAAACTTGTAAAAAACAGAGTTTATCGCATACATTGTTTGCTTTTAAAAAAATAAAATTTACTATAGCAGAAAAGCAAAATAAAATAAAGGGAAGAATATAAAATAAATAAATAAAGTGTATTCTGCTTATTAGCACCATTGCTTTTTATAGAAGCTTTCAGGAAATAGTTTAGCTATGGCTCATTTTTCAAGAAAAGAATTAGATGAACTAAAGCCTCTTTTTGAAAAAACTGTGTATAAAGTAACTGGAAGTAATGATTCCTCTCTAGTTAGTGCTATTGGTCAGTGCTTACATTCAGGATATGAAAAAAGGAAAGTCGTAGATAAACTCTCATTTCACATAGATTCTAAAAAGGCTACTCGACTCGCAGAAAAGATATTTGATTTAATTGAAGACATGAAAGTTTCTAATAGTTCAAGAAAGCGATCTAGGTCGCGTGAAAGAGAAAAAGAGCGTGATTCTAAGCGTTCTAAAGTACATGGTTCAAGAGATAGTGATAAAAACCGAAAAAATGATTCAAATAAAAGTTTTTCGAGCAGTGAGATTAAGGAAATGATGCAACATGCCCAAAAACAAATAGAAGAACGTAAGAAAGCACTAGACAATTTGAACACAAAAAATGTTCCAATTCCGCCCCCAAGTATTTATGGTATACCAATGGGTTTGTTAAATAGAGGTGATGCTGATAAAGCAAGAAAAATAGCTCAGTTACAATCCCAAATTAAAAACAAATTGTCTGCTGGAATTTTAGGGAATGTTGTAATTCATGTCCCACAAGCTTCTGAGAAGCCAACACCACTCATTTTGGATGATGAAGGGCGAACTGTGGATAAAACAGGTAAAGCTGTTCAGTTGACACACATTGCACCTACATTAAAAGCTAACATTAGAGCCAGAAAGAAACAAGAATTCAAGGCTCATCAACATGACAAACCAGTTGAAGAGTCAGCAGAAACTAAATTTATTGATCCACGAATTGGAATTAAACCACCCATTAGATCTAAAAGGAATTTACGTTTTCATGAACCTGGCAAGTTCCAACAGTTAGCTGAAAGGTTGAGAATGAAGGTAACTTTATCTTTTTTATATTGCAACTAAATTGTTCGAAAATTTATGTAGGTCATTTGTACACATTTTTGCGTTTATAGGCACAGTTAGAAAAACTACAAAATGAAATTTCTCAAATTGCAAAAAAGACAGGTATTTCTTCTGCTACAAAATTGGCTTTAATTGCTAAAACAGAAGGGGTCACTGATGAAATTCCTCAGATGGAATGGTGGGATTCTGTTATATTAGAAGACGAACTGAATACAATAAAAAATGGAAAAATTGCAATCAAAGATCATATTATTAGTAATTTAGTAGAACATCCAACCCAAATGCGTTGTCCTAGTGGGTATATTAATCTTTCTTTTGAGCATGTCAGTTTATTATCCTATAAAAACTAACTAATCTGGTATAATTTTCAGCTGATCCTTTGAAACCAGTTTATATGCCGGTCTTTTTAACTAAAAAAGAACGAAAAAAATTACGTCGTCAAAATAGAAGGGAAATGTGGAAGGAGGAACAAGAAAAAATACGACTGGGTTTGGTTGCTCCTCCAGAACCGAAACTCCGAATATCAAACTTAATGAGAGTTTTGGGTACTGAAGCTGTTCAGGACCCTACCAAAGTAGAAGCTCATGTGCGAGAACAGATGGCAAAAAGACAAAAAGCTCACGAAGATGCCAATGCAGCCCGACAATTAACAGCGGAACAGAAACGGCACAAAAATATTAAAAAAATCAAAGAGGATACCACAAACGGCGTTCACGTTTCTATATATAGAATTAGAGACTTATTTGAGCTTGCCTCAAAGAAATTTAAAATCGAAACCAATGCCAAACAACTTATGATGACTGGCTGTGTTGTGTTGTATCCAGACTGTTGTGTTGTTGTCGTTGAAGGGGGCCCCAAGCAACAAAAAAAATATCGAAGGTAACATTCAAATCTATAATGCATTCAAGTGTAACATAAAATTTTGGGTTTCATTGTGAATTTTGTTAGGTTGATGCTTCATCGAATAAAATGGGAAGAAGATATTGTAAAGGATCCAGATGGAAGGGAAGTACCAAATAAATGCGTTCTCGTTTGGGAAGGTACGAGCAAGCAGCGCACTTTTGGTGAATTGAAGTTTAAAGTTTGCCCTACTGAGAAATTGGCTCGAGAACATTTTAAAAAGCACAAAGTGGAACATTACTGGGACCTGGCTTACAGCGGTGCTATTCTTGAACCAGTTGTTGAAGGTGTATAATGATACAATAAATTGTAGAAATTATGTAAATACCTTTCTGAATACACCCTAAACGCTTAAAAATACATACATGTAGTCTTTATAATATCATAAATAATACAATGATTAAAGAGATGTAAAATTTACTTTGTTACAATATAATTAATAAATCATCCTATATTTATTGCAATAAAAATATTTTTTAAACTAAAAAACAGGAAAAAGTGGCTGCTACTTTTAGAGTAGCCGATCAACATTTAGCATAATATCTTTCTGTCCATGAAACAAGTAACGCAAGCATTAATAATATTCGTGAATATTTAAATTAGATACAATAAAAATGAAAAAAAATTGGATAAGTGCTTGATTTTTTTTCAGATTTAAAAAGCTTATGCTTTGGTTTATATATATTCTCTACTAAAAAATATACATGATTGATGAATTAAGGGGTGATAATATGCATGTGTATAGTTGAGTGAATCCCCCAAATACAGCTCTGCAGTGTTATTAAATTGAATGCGGGTGGCTTTTTGCAAAACAGTTCTCTAAAACATCGTTACTATGTTGGTTGCCTAATCGCTTGAAGCAATTTTAAATTATTCAGGAAAGCAGTGGCGTCCAGGGTAGACTCTGAATGCCACCCTATTCGTGTACCAAGAAGTACTAAAGTGTGAAGATAAACGCGATCCTACTCAGAACAGATAGTTCCTGAGTGGACCGCCCAACGTTACTTCTTACTTATGCCATTACAGGAAAATTTCATTCCAGCATGGGCAAAGAGGCAAGTTGTTTGAGAAATAAAAGTCTAATAGTTAATTAATTATTTAGCGATCGTGAGTATTATTCCATAAATATTACACTTTAAGTTAATTGCAACAGCGCAGGTAATTTTTACGGTACAGTTTTGTTTAATTTTAAAGCAACTACCGAAATGATATGCTTTAACTGCGATATGTGCGATTCTACAATTTTTAATTTCATTTTCAACAAGTTATTCATTGTCTAATGTAAACTCTGTAAGGGGGTTGAATTCCTTTAAATTCGTTTCGTTGTAAGCCTTAACGTATCCCCACAGGTGCATTGCTTGAGTGCATTGTTCTTCTATGTATTGAACCTCTGAAAAGTTTAAATCCATCCGCCAATGAAACGGAGTATTTTTTGAATTACGAAATGTACTTGATAAGCCGCCATAATTTATTCTAGTGTGAGAATCGAGAAAGTTCATCACATTGGGGTGAAAATATAGGTTGAAAAATTGTAATAATTTTTTAACTTCATTATACGGATTTAAGGAAAGATCTTCGTATCGAATGACACTAAAAAGAAAAAAGATATAAATTATATTTTGTATAGTATGATCAATATATATATATATATATATATATATATTGTTAAGTAAAGCAGCGATTAACTAATTACCTAAATCTATGTGGAAATTTATGTTTCAACTTAATGGCTGCACTGTAATCAGAAACCATATCTGCACACAATATATTTGGTTGATCACAGTCGGGTATTCCCGGACACCACTCTCTGTGTTTACGTGATTGCAATATCCCTCGTGGGTCTCTAACTAAAAGGAGAACTCGAACATTTAGGCTAAAATGAAAAAGCAACGTGTTAACATTAATTTTACATACTAAGGAAGTCCAAACTACAAATTTTTCTTAAAATGAGCCTTCAAGTATTGTGATAACATACACTTTAATTGAGTGATTATAAGGTGAAGAAAAAGTAGCCGAAGTTTGCTTTCAAGGGAAAAAATAAAACGTCTTATAGGCGCAAAAAAATTTTATAATAGGAATAACACAGTATTGACTTTTCCGGTACAGAAAAAAACTTACCATCTATTTAACATAATAACTGTCTTATTTGTTATTACGTTTCAATTTTTCTTTTAAAAAATAAAGTAATATCTAAAAATCAGTATGTCTTTAGAAAAGAGATAGGTGAAAGCAATGTCATATTACAATGTTATATAGAGTTTCTCTATAATAAATTCGATGATAGTCATCCTTGCATTGTAGTATTTCTTGATCTTACTAATGCTAAGTGGACCATCAAATACTGAATAAATTAGAATTGTATGGTATAAAAGGAAAACGCGCTTACTTTTAATTAGCAGAGTGCAATAGGTTGATATTGATGGAATAAATAGCAGGAAACAAAGTAAATATTGACGTACCTCAAGGTAGTTTACTAAGACGTCTGCTATTTTTGATATTGATCTACCCAAGGTACAAGGTAATATTTATGCAAATTTAACACCGTCTCAATGTTCGTAGAATTGTTTAAAGTAAAACGTTTTGGTCGAATGTTAATTAGAACGTTAATTAATGGTTGTCTTTTTTGGTTTGAAAATGCATTCCTTGTTTGAATGTGAAAGCTTAGATAAACACTGAAGCACAATTAACTTGAAAACAAAACACAAAAAAAAATTAAAATTAAAATATATTGTAATAATTCGGGTTATTCCTATCACAAAATGTTAGAAAAATTAACGAAAATGTCGATTTAATTAATTAATAATATAGAACAAACAACGTTAAGTTAAATTGTACAACTTGTGTAAGACGATTGAGATTGTCTTCTGGATAATCATATTTATAACATAAGTATTGCAAGCATTTTTTACTACCTCCAGTGCTATGCAGGACATGGCATATTAGTATTATACATGTGAGTACTATAAGAAATCAAATATAAACTTTTGAAGGCTACATTATTTATTGATGTATATAACTACATAATGTGCATAAAATGCCTTATCCTGTATGAGCAATTTTGTATGCAAATAAGTTTTCGAAAATACATTAAACTCTGTTGACGAAATTGTCACGGTAGGGGGCCTTTTTGGACCAGGAATTCAATTTAGCGTTTTTGTAAAATTTAAATACACAACAGGTCATTTTACAGAAATCAATTTATATAATATANATTTTATATAATATAAATAAATAAAAATAAAACATATGAAATATTTAAGATTTCAATTCTTCCATAGAATAAAAAAATATTGTGTATATGCAACCCAACACATACCTCAATATGAAATATTTCAATGTTGCATATATACACATTTAAAAATTTGGAAATGTCATTAAAATTACAAGTAGTGTCATCTGGTGACTAGTAGTTTTTACTATTTTTAATATGTACTTAATTCAATAATAAAATGTTATCTACTAGGCCGTAAACAGCCTGTAACACATGCAATGTTAATGGCAGCCAATAAACAACATAACGCCATATACAGGAAGGATATCGGTAACTACAGACCAAAAATTGATTATTGATGGATTCATTATTAAGAATTTCTTAATGCAGATACTTTTAGAATACTGACGTAACAGGAAGGAATTTCAGTGTTTTAAAAGTTTCTGGGATATAACTAAAGTTTGAGTTTGTCATTCCCATGTAAATGAAGATTTAACTTACTCCTTGTTTAGCAGTAGTCTCTCTGCAAGTCGTAGTCTCAGTCGTACTACTTTCATCGATTGGAAGGGAAACAGTTTACAAAATTGCATTAAAAAATCGGGATCCCAGCAATAATTTGGATAATATTCGCATTGTGTCCAAAGCCGCGTATTGTGCGTGAATAGGTAAACATGATCTTGGCCATATTTTAAATAAGCCTGCAAATCGTCATATTCGCACTTAAGTAGACTTTCTAGTACAGTAACAGCAGAATCGGCGAATGGGGGGCCTCGAATTTGCATAATACCATAATGAAGTAGGGGCTCATAATGGTAATAGTTTCCTGGAATAGCGTTTAAAACTTCTCCGAGGAAAGTAGATCCAGATCTCCATGTGGTTATTATAATGTTTCTGACTGGTTTTCCTCCAACAGAAAGAGTAAAATCTGTTAATGTTTTGTTTTTTGGAAATGGATAATCTTTTAATTGTTGTTCTATAACGAATTTGTTTTGACGAACCACCGTTTTAATGGGCACCGTGGCGAAAGATGAGTTCGTTAAAATTAAGTCTTGCAATACGGGATAATGTCTTGGATATTCTCTTGTGGGCCGTTGGTTTACTGTTGCAAAGAGTAGAATAAGGGCTATCGTTGTCACAGTAAGGCCGAGAAGTTCTACCCTTCTGTACATGGCGCAAGAACCCTTCCATTTCCGTTAGTGCCATCAAAACATCACACTCACGCACACTGCATCACTCTTTTCTTCTTTCAGCAGATGGCAAACGCTTGTTTATAACTGTCATCACAAATCTCACGTAAAACTACATAAACTCCACAGTCGTTTTCATGGACAACGGGCGGTAGAAAAATTCAGAGAACAAGTTCTTGTGCGGTTCCCCACCCTTCTAATTTTAGAGCGTTGCTCCTTCTGCAGATAACGTTTCATCTCTCTTCTAATCGGTAAATACCGCTATCTCCATTTCTTTCTTGTACAACACCAGTTCGATTTAACTAATTGAGAGACAGTGCCTTTCGCTCGTTGGTGATGTCATGTTGCGATTTGAGGTGTAATTTTTGCATTAATCCACGTCTATTGATGACAACGATTTAAAATTGAGTTGTGAAATAAAACGCATTAGTGCTTCACACACATTAGAAGATACATCTTTCAAATAAATCAATATTCATATCTACGTAAGTGCAAAAAGGAATCAAGTTTGGTGACTAAAAGAACTGTCAAAAGGTGATTGAAACTGTAACGGCTCATAAATAAGGTAGGGATGATACTATCAAACTCCTTTGAATTAATTGTATTTTAAGCTATTGTAACCAAAGCACGTTTTATTTTTTAATATGCTACTTTTTTGTTAAAAACTAATGTCAGGCCTAAGCACTATTTTATAATGTATAATGTATATGTAGGCACCTACAGGTATTGTATGCATAAATGTAGACATGTATTAGTCGTTGGTACCTAAATCTGTAGAGAATTAAGTTTTGAAGAGGTTTTTAATTATATTTTATTACATGCCCTAGATCATCAAAAATTTGTTTGTGAATACAAATACAACTAAAAATTAAGTACGTAAGTCATTAGTTACTGAAAATTATTTTTATTCAGAAATTTAAGAATAATTCCCATTTGTACATGTACTTCTACATGCATAACATGTGTGCATACATTTTTATAGACTCTAGACTATATGTAGATGTATATTTAGTTTTCTTGTACCTACGAACCCTAGTTTTTACGAGGGTGGATTGATAAGTTTCCGGCCTGACCAAGAAAAACAAGGTTTTTAAAAATTTTTTTTTTTTATTTCTCAACATAATCTCCTCCAAGGCTGATACATTTCTCATAGCGGTGTTCCAGTCTATTAATGCCATCTCTATAGACTGATTCGTCAAGCTCCTCAAAATAACCATTTACAGCTTCGATTACTTCTTCATTGTCCGCAAATCTCTTACCGCCAAGCCATTTTTTGAGATTAGGGAACAGAAAATAGTCACTCGGGGCTAGGTCTGGAGAGTAAGGAGGGTGCGGCATCAATTCAAACTTTAGATCGTTGATTTTAGCCGTCGCAACGATTGACGTGTGCGCTGGTGCGTTATCGTGATGAAACAAGATTTTTTTCTTCGCCAGATGAGGTCGTTTAATTTTCACCTCGTGGCTCAAACGTTGCAATAAGTCTGCGTAGTATTGACCAGTGATAGTATTACCCTTTGCAAGGTAATCAATGTATATAATACCTCTTGCATCCCAAAAAACAGTAGCCATAACCTTGTTCGCCGAAAAAATTGTTTTTGCCTTCTTTGGAGTTGGTTCCCCTGGTCCAATCCACTGTTTAGACTGTTCTTTGGTTTCAGGAGTGTAGTGGTGGACCCACGTTTCGTCAACGGTTACGAATCGACGCAAAAATTCGCTTGGATTACGCTTATACAATGACAAATTTGCGGTAGAAATGTTTTTTCGAATCAATTTTTGGTCGACTGTTAGCAAACGCGGCACCCATCTTGCACAGAGCTTTTCCATATGCAAATGTTGGTGCAAAATATGTTGCACACGTTCATATGACATCTTACAGGTCTCAGCTATCTCACGCACTTTCAATCTGCGGTCTCCCAGCACTATTTGATGAATTTTTTCGATCATATCTGGAGTTGTGACCTCAACGGGGCGTCCTGAGCGAGGCCCATCAGAGGTGCTCACACGACCCTTTTTAAACTCGGAAACCCACTGCTTAACGGTTGAATATGACGGGGAGGATGTCCCCAGTGTTGAGTCCATCTCTTTTTTAATTTCCTTCGGCGTTAACCCCTTCAAATAAAAGTATTTGATGACAGCACGATTTTCCTGCTTTTCCATTTTTACGAAAACCACAGAGGCGTCTTGTTCAGCGTGCTGTCAAACCTACACTAGCAAGGAGATCGGGCTGAAACTATAGCTACAAGCTATCCAAGGATGGTACTATAGAATGTCACCTCAAGGTAGGCCTAGTGGCGTCATCTCTTGGTTAGGCCGGAAACTTATCAATCCACCCTCGTATACCTATATAAAACAAGCTTCAGACCAGGTACCATGCTCAATTATTAAAGTAGGTATATTCTAAATGGTCAATTACCTATTAAAGTCATTCTTATTGGTCATTCCAATATTACCGTAATTTATTCAGATATATACGAAGTGCCAAATTTCCTTTATTATTTTTGCTTTAATTTTGATTAATGTACGTATTAACCAATTAGCTATGGATCATTTATTCACACCACAACATGCGAACTGTTTTCGACAATGCAAACGCGTTTATTAATTGGAATAATCAGCAATTTTTTAATGAAACTTTTGTTTTCATGTTTTGTTTATGTTTAAAAAAAACAAAAATTAACTTTCTGCATATTGTGTGTTTTTGTTCTTAAATTATTATGCGACTTTATTGCTTGTCAGCAAGGTTGAATTACATTATTTTGTTTGCGCTGCTAAATTAGTTTCATTCCTTAAATGTTAGCTGTTTTGTACAATGTACAATACAGATGAAACGGTCTTGGTTGTATGTTGTTGTGCTGAGTTGCGGGTAAAGTAGTAAATTGCCTGAAAGTAATTTTAACGGATTTTGTGTTCACATATTCGTGTTTTATTTTTTTATGGGGTAGTTATTAATGATGGAGTATGCATCAGTAATGAAAGGTACTCTAGTGGTGAGTAGTTGTAAACATCAATAATTTAACGAGTAGCAATTTTGCCAGTTAGTGAAGTAAGCATACCAAGTGGTCTTATTATACAAGAAACTATAGAGTGCTCGATATTCAGACTTTTGAATAGTAATAAAAATGTATAATAGTCACGTGCAGGCAACCCAACATACACAGTACAGAGCAGAACAGATTTTCTAGATGTTTCATTCTGGATCATTCTAGAGCCTATAAATAGTTGCTGCGAGATCGGAAGTTAGTTCTAGTTTCAGCGACGAAGCGATATAAAGCGAAATAAGAAGAGAGAAGAAGCGATAAAGTGTTTGATAATGTGGCGAAATAGGAATTAATTAATAATAGTGGTGTTAGTTAGAGAGTAAATAATCAAATAAATTTAGTGATAGTAAGAAAAGTGTTTAATTACAAGACATTTGGTGGGATTGAAAAAGATTGAAGAAAAATGAGGATTTTGAAGAATTTCATCGAATATTACAGTGTTTCATTGGTCAATTTTCTAGAAGTTTTCATCGTCTGCAAGAAATCTTAACAGGTCATATATCATTGGAAAGCTCTAAAAAAGAACGATTTTGCTAAAATTGAAGATTTTCATTAAATTTTCTAGAAGAAATATTAATTTGGTGTAAGCTTTCGCCAACCATAGTTGACCTCTTGAGGCAATCTACAGTGGTCTTCCGAAATACTGGACTTGTGCAAGAACGGGATGCCTAAATCAAGGATACAAACAAAACACGGCAATCTGAAAACTAAAATCAGCCAAATTGAAGGGGCGCAAGTTGACTCACCCTCACAAAGCCCCCGAAGAAGTCATCATTTTACGACTGGATGCAACCAACTCACTGTTCATAGAAGGATCTATAAATTGAAGCTAAGCCCCACGAAATGCATCTTGTTTAGAAGAGAAGTGAAATACCTGGGTCATGTGATAACATTCGAAGAAATTATGACCGACCCTAACAAAACGGATACAGTACAATGTTGGCTCATACCAAAGGGCCGTTACGAACTTACAATTAGAATTTTTTTGGGACTTTGCTCCTACTATCGATGATTTGCCGATATAGCACTACACAGACGTACACATGATGGCGTTTTATTCCAGTGGACATCCGAATGCAAAAAACTATTTGACAACTTGAAAATTACACTCTTTGAAGAAGAAAGAATTGATTGTGTCACCCGTCGAGAGGTATTGGTTGTGGTTACAACATTTCCACAAGTACATGTATGGGCGGAAGTTCCTCTGAAGAACGGATCACGCCTCGCTACAGTATTTGATTACATGACAATATTAAAAGAAACGTTTGCCCACTATTTCCATTATGACCTTTCAATGGAGTAAAGTACACCCCCGCAGAACTGACACCGCGGGGGGCAGTTATTGCAGGGGAACTCCTTAAATAAAATGCCTTTTTAGAATTAAATTATATTTCATAAATACATTTCTATTGGGTTGTTCGGAAAGTCATTTCGTTTTTTCCCGACAGAGGATTTAATTGTATTCTTTTGCACCCAACTTCACATTTAAGCCGTATAATTTTTATATGCTTTGAGAGCTCATATAGCAAGGCTTGTGTGTGAAAAATTCCAATTAATTCTACGCAGTAGTTTTTGGTTGGTGCCCTTTTAAATATGGAGAGCGATAAGCAGCATTTTCGACATATCTTACTGTTTTACTACAGAAAGGGTAAAAATGCTGTTCAAGCCAGAAAGAAATTGACTGATGTGTATGGAGAAGGTGTGTTGACAGTACGCCAGTGCCAGAACTGGTTCGCTAAATTTCGATCCGGCAATTTTGATGTCGAAGATGCACCACGTTCGGGAAGGCCGGTTGAAGCTGATAAAGACGCGATAAAGGCATTAGTTGATGTGAACCGGCGAATAACAACACGTGAGATCGGATTGAGGTTAAATTTATCAAATTCAACAGTTTATGACCACTTGAAAGGCCTGGGATTATCCTCGAAGCTCGATGTATGGGTTCCCCATGTTCTCACAGAGAGAAATCTGTGTCGCCGCATTGACGTCTGCGATTCGCTTCTCAAACGTCACGAAAATGATCCGTTTTTGAAGCGCATCATCACTGGGGACGAAAAATGGGTTGTATACAACAACGTCAAACGCAAGAGGTCATGGAGCAAAAAAGATGAACCGGCTCAAACCATTTCCAAAGCCGATATTCACCAAAAAAAGGTGATGCTGTCTGTTTGGTGGGATTTTAAAGGAATCGTTTTTTTTGAGCTTTTACCGGATAACACAACGATTAATTCGGAAGTCTACTGTCATCAGCTGGACAAACTGAATGATGCACTTCAACAGAAAAGGTCAGAACTAATCAACAGGAAAGGTGTAGTGTTTCACCAAGACAACGCGAGACCTCACACAAGTTTGGTCACTCGCCAAAAGCTTTTACAGCTTGAATGGGATACAATGCTACACCCACCATATTCTCCAGACCTGGCACCATCGGATTATTATTTGTTCCGGTCACTCCAAAATTTTTTAGACGGTAAAACCTTCACCTCAAATGAGGAGGTCAAAAACCTCCTCGATCAGTTTTTTGCCA